ACGAATAACTTTGGGACGTCGACTTGAGTACTCCTGATACCTTTATATATTGTATAAATGTAATCAATACTAGAAAAATTTTGTCTTAACCTGCATTCATATTTCTTTCATGATTTTTCAGTAGCATAAGAAATTCAACACAGTTAAAAGATGGGAATGATTTGCTTAAAATGGTTGTAGCTTTAAGCGTTTTTTTTTTTAATATTAAGGATTTGAACAGTCCCTTCTTTTCAGAGAAAAATAAATTCCTTTTAATTTTTTAGTATACATATATTATAATTAATTCGTATATAAAATAATAACTTATCAGCTCATTAAAAATATATAAATAAAAAATAAAACAAATTAATGTTGGTGATAGGAGATTATCACAACTCCGATCACATAAAAAAATACATGTAAACTATGTAAACAAACCTGTGATCCGGACTCAAAGCCATGCCAACGATATGTCCATGGAGATCAATAATTTTATCGGGTGTATTAAAATTTTGTACAGCAGATATAGCAGGCTCAGGGCGTACCTAAAACAAAACAAAACAAAACAATGGATAAATAGATAACATAATAGTTCAGCAAATATTCTAATTAAATAGATATATAAACAGACAAAGTACATTACTTGATTATGTTACTAAAACTCTCAATTGTCACTGATAATAGAAATTTAGTTACAAATCATATTAAAATGGTTTTTATATACTTTTTTAATTCGGTTATAGATCACTTTTTGTTAAATAAATCAACGTTTGTTTAATATTTTTTAATATATTCTATACTTCGACTCTTCTGAGAGTCATCATCAGGATCACGATCTAATATAAATGAATATTACTAAAACTGCATCTGCATCATTCTCTTTATTTTATCGTCTACATTGCATATTAAACATTAACCTTTATCAAATTTGCAAAGCTAAATTATTAAATTTATTTTATAAACTACATTTTAGCCATTCCCAAAAGGTGGTAAATATGCGATTTGTATTTCTAATAATAACATAAACTAATTATTATAATTATTAAGATATGTACTAAAGCATAATAATGCTTATTTTAGTGACAAAATATTTAAAAAATACTTTCGTTATATTTTTCAAAAATATACCTCTCGCTGTGCTGCTCTTCTAGCAGCTAAACGTTCCCTTAAGGGTAAACCAGGATCTAAACGCTTAGGGAAATTAACATTCCTAATACGCTTGATACCAATCTGATGCGGTGTGTAAGTTTTCGATCCCATAGAAAATATAAGATACTTTGGTATATGATTTTCCATTTCATCACTGCTCATATCCTCATTATCGTCATCTTCGTCATCATGGTTTAGTTGAGTTTGCTCTTGCAAATCAATATCATTTTCCATATCACTGTCTTCCACGGGAATATTCACATCATTACTATTTCCTACTACTTGATCATCGTCATCGGAGCTAGTTAATTCGTAGTCATTATTAAATTTAATATTTTTCAGATATGCTTCCGCATAGCGTATGGTTGCACTATCTACATTAGGATTTGATGTGCTTTGCTGTGCTACATCTGGTAAGCCCTCTATTTTATATGTTTTTGGTTGTTCTTGAGAGTTATGTACACCATTACTAGTTGTTGGAACTTCATCATCAGTTGCGGACTCCTTTAAAAATAAATATCATTACAAATGTAAATATATAAAATATATAAAAAAATGAGTGTAGATAACTAACCTTACATTGTTTACCTTCTGGTGGTAAGGGATCGTTTTCATCATTTAACCATGGACATCTTGCAATCATAATCGCACGAACGGAACTTGCACTGAGATTTAAAAATTTGAATAGTTCACATGTTATGGGGACATGTTCCGAAGCAGTTTCTTGATTTGCTTTATTAAGTAGCAATCTTGATGTGCTAACCAAATGTGCTAACCATATTAAATCACCAGCGATTAGATATTGATCACTAAACCAAGTGCCAAATATATCATACGGTCGATTAACAACACGACAACGCAAATGCGATTTACCTATAAAGAAAGCAGTTATTTTGAATAAATTGCATTAATAATTTTAATTAAATGTTTAAATTGAGCTCACAAACCATAAACAGTGAAAACAGCTATTTCACCAGATGTGCTATGCGGTGAACCAAAGTGAACACCTGATACCATTAACAAGGTATCGCTTTGATTGAACTGAGAGAATTGTGTATATTTCCAATTAAATTCCTTCATGTTATGTGCATACTTTTCACGACATGGATGATCCGAATTCCAAACCTGTGAATATCGTTATTTTTAGTTACAGAAATATTATCTATATTATAATTTATCTCTATACTAATAAAATATAAAATGAATCCATATCAGAGAAGGTGTTTTACAACTAGATTAGCAGGTATGTGGTTTGGGAAGGATAAGCACAAAGCTGAAGAGTTATATGGTAAAACAATAGAGTTAAGAATTCAGCTTAGGAAAAGAAGGATCCACATTTCCTTCTACAATCGATAAAACGTCACTCAAAACTTTATCAAAACCAATCAAAAATCTTAAACATCGTAACCTAAAAAAAACGATACGGTGATCATGGTTCTAAGAAGGACCAAGTATACGTTCCAAAGTTATATATCAATTTCGATGACCAAGTGTCGTTCATTTAATAAATCTTAGAATTTTAAAATAAATAATTTTTATGACTTAAGAATCGACGATAAAGCGAAGATCTGCTTAGAACAGTTAATTCAGACTATATTGATTTATCTGGCTTTAAGCACGCATAGACCTATTGGGCTTTAAAGACATCACATGAAACAAGATATATACGTAGTCATAGAATTAGGTAATTAAAGACATCATATACTATATATTTGTACTATATATATATTTAACTATATATATATATATAGTTAAATATAACTATATATTTAACTATATATTTGTAGATGCATTAAGTAGTATATCATATAGCTGGCTTTATCATGTCGTGCGAATGGAAGAAACTGCTCCGGCTGGAAAGGCGTTTGATTTGGTACCCGCAGGTGGAAAGCGAGGTGGAGGACGTCCGCATCTTCGGTGGAAGGATCAGGTGACTAACGATTTGAGAGCGCTCGATACTACCAACTGCCGACAGCAAGCAACTAATCGGGCGACTCACGGCTCACGTCTGTAATGGTCAACTAAGTAAGTAAGTAAGTAGAATAAAATACTTCTAGCAATTTTTTCTTCTATGCTGTGCTAACATAGCTTACTTCTTGAGATATTGAGATTTAAAATTGTACATTTTTAACACTGCTAAGATCAACAAAAGCTATACACACTATTTAGTAAATGTAATTTCCACGACTAAAATCTACGAAATACCTGGGCCTTAACTTATTGTTAGTGATATTTCTTTTTCCCTAAAAATTAAGTTATGTTGAGACTGAATTCCGTTGTCAAATGGACTAGCTTGAATGTTGGAGACATGCTGCAATTCCTATCATGAGCAATAAAGTGTATGAGCATTGATGGATTATTTGAAATGAAAACTAACGCTATCGCTCAAAAAATATTTGTTTTAAAATATTCCCAGAAAAAATATAACCAACGACTTGGAGTTCTATAAATTCAAAAAATATAAATAACTCTGAATGGAGAATATAACCAGTTTATAACATGTTTTTGTTATATACATATTAAGGACAGTGTTAGCTTCTAGTATTGTTGTATTACTTACTATAACATAACCATCTTTGGAGCACGTAGCAAACATATCACCATCGTGCGAAAAGCTAACATGGAGCACTTGATGAGCATGTCCACGTATGGATTGTGTTTGTATAAACGGTATTTCGCAGGCAAGTCGCACATATTCACTACGCCACGATTCAGCTCCTATAGGAAAGGATACATAAAAACAATATTAAACAAAATATATTGTATTTATCTTTTATTTGTTAAATGAAAATGCTTATGCCGAATATACTTCACTTCAACGGACACTTCTTTTTTGGGAGCTTAAGTTTTTTAAAGTCGAATTTGTTTTGGTCAGACATCAAAGGGTATTATCTTTTGAATAAACAAAACCTGACGGACAATATATGGCCACTCAAGTGGGTTTTCAGTATAGTAATAATCAATTACTATATAATTCAACTAGGTTTAATTGTACTCATTATTAACATACAGATCTTAAGTATTATTTATCCTTGTTTACAGGATCTGAGTTCATTCATCTGGTATCGCTACAATTTTACACGGTCTATATATTTTTTTTTTGTTATGTTGTATTTTTATTAAATACAAAATTGTAAAATTAACGGAAGTTATTATACTTGTTGATATATGATATATGTGCTATAAGTTCAGGTAGCACCATCTATTTATTCAGAGTGGAACGAAATCATTAACGTGTTCTTAACATTATGTCTTTCATTAAAATATAGTTGAAATTTTGTTTTAATATATCAATACTTTATTTATTTATAGTATAAACCATTTGATGCGTCAAGATATTTTTAAAAAATGGAAAAACTTGAACAACATGCAGTGATCAAATTGTAAGTGATATAAAGCAATGAGAATCTATAACGAAATGCTGAATGTGTTAGGTAAATCTGTTCCTTTAAAAATAATGGCTTGGGTAGTCTTTTTAGAAGTTTGTCGTACAAATCTTAAAAACAATCTAAGTAATGTACACCCAAAAACTGCATCAACAATAGAAATCGTAAACATAATACACGACATAATTCCAACAACGCCCGGGTCTATGGCCCGAAAGCTAGCATTCATTTAAACGTCCAAGTGCTACCATTTTTACCTGTTACACTCAAGGACAAAAACACCAATACCCAAATAATTAAAATTAAATAATAACACCTGTTATAAGTATAAATAGTTTGTAAATTGCATAGATGTTTTTAATATTAGGAATTCTCCTGATGAAGGCAAAAGCGAATTTCCCAAAATACTTATAGGACTATACAAAAAAAAAACCAATGAAATAAAACTTAAAATACTAAAAAACAAAACCGACTTTAGGACCAAGTGCCATTTACCAGACCCCAAAGGAAGTACACAGTAACAATAACATATCGTTTTGTAAGAGCATTGATTGGCCAAAAATAGACTTAATAGAAGTTCTACTCCTTGCATTAGGCATATTGGGCAATATTTTATGTTGAATTGAATTTCAAAAACTAAGTTAATGGTTTCTTCACTTCACTATTTTGAATTAATCGCATTCAGCAACATCTAGAGCATTTCAGAAAGGTTATTTATTACTTTATTACTATGAATGATATGTGGGTTTATCATCATGATCTCGATTCGAAACAAAAGGCTAGGAACCAGGCTTTAGATTTTCAAATCAGTTCCAGAAATGTAGTCAAATCGGTATAAGCGGTATAAAAAGGTATAAGCGTCAGTTAATAAATAATGTCATTTTTAAGACTAAAAATCGGTTTATCTCCGTAACACGAATTTATTCAACACTAAAATGTAATTAAAAGAATAAATAGTATAGATTATTAACTGAACATATTATAAACTATTAAGTAATTTTAATTACTTTTAATTAATTTAGTTAATTAAAAGTTAATTTAATTTATTAAACCCTAAAACGTAAATAAAAGATGTATTATAATATATTATTTACTGGGCACATTATAAACTATTAAGTAATTGTAATTACTTTTAATTATTTTAGTTAATTAAAAGTTAATTTAATTTGTTAAACCCTAAAATGTAATTAAAAGAAGTATTAGAATAGATTATTTACTGAGCACATTATAAACTATTAAGTAATTTTAATTACTTTTAATTAATTTAGTTAATTAAGTTTAATTTGTTAAACCCTAAAATGTGAATAAAAGAAGTATTAGAAAAATACTTATAATACATTATAAACTATAAAGTAATTGTAATTACTTTTAATTAATTTAGTTAATTAAAAGTTAATTTAATCTATTTAACACTAAAATGTAATTAAAAGAATAATTAGAATAGATTTTTTACTGGGCACATTATAAACTATTAAGTAATTTTCATTACTTATAACTACTACATATAAATTGATATTTATATATATTATAAAATTATATATAAGGCTATGTATTTAAATTTTAGTATTAAACTAATTTTACTTTTTAATTTAATTTTAATTCAAATATCAATCAATAAACGAGCAGAGATTCCTAATTCCTAATTATTTCTATAATAAATAACAAATAAGAAAACAAATGTTTTATTGTTGTTTATAATCAATCTATATATCTAGACTCTGGCACTGATCCCATTTAAATTACAAATTACCCTTAAATGAGATATTTATAATTCCTCCCACCTACTTGTCTGTTTGTATGTAAACAGCCGAGCCGAGCGTGTGTATACATAAGTATTTTGCATATATGTATGTGCATAACATATGTTTGTTGCAAACACCAGTTGATATTGACATTTGTGCAAGAGTGGGTAAGGTTAGGCCAATTGTTGTTGTGGGGTTAAGAGAATTAGGTCAAGCTTGTGATAAAAATAATCTTCCCAGGTTGTGTGTAGGAAGAACTTCCACTCCCTAATTATTATTTAACTGCTATCATAATAGTGACCGCCTCGACTCGCCTTATCCCGCCCCATTTACTGTTTCCACTATACACTGCACTGTCATACATATATATTTATACGTACCTGGTTTTAATGGCAATGTCGGATCAATCTTGAAGTGACGATGCATTTTCTTTTTCCACAATAACTCATCGCTTGCAATTTCACGCCAACGTCGACAGACTCCACTCGCGCTAACTACATCCTTTACAGGCAACGAATAGAATATACTGTGCAAGATATGGTGTGGTATGGTCCACCATTTGGATTCTAGGAAATCCTGTTCCAATTCCTCTGCAATTGGGTTAGTATCCATTTCTTGCAAACTTGTGCTACTTGTGTTTGTTGTCATAATATCGCTTTTACTTTAATTTCTCAAAAATTTTTTCTTTCTTTTGCCCAAAAGTGTTATGGTAATTATGAAGAAACAAACAGCCAAAGTTTTCACTTTCTTTCGAAACTTACCTGTTAAAACTTGTATGCACGAAAATAACTTTCTTTGTTGTTTTTTTTTTTTTTGCCTGGATTTTTGTTGTTATTCTTCGCAGTATTTGTAGTTTATCTTTTTCTGTTATACGCGATTCTGCAAAATTGCTTTGCCTTTTAAATTGTAATTTTTAGGTTTTTAATGCACACACAATTTTCCATTAAAATATTTATGGCATATTTGCGGAATTGTTTCTTTGGTCAAAACACAGTACCAAAACAACAAATATTTTCACCTGAGTCAAGATAGCAACGACGCTGGGAGGACCACACCGGAAATGGAACACAAAATTTTTTTAAGTTTATTAAAACTTAATTAATTTGTCAAAATTAGCTAAATTTAAGCTATTTCACCAAATAAAATATGTTATTTAAATAGAAAAATATATAGAAGAATCAATAATCTTTGATTTGGAATATATCTCATAATCGTATGTTGCGTACTAGCTGAGATATTTGCAAACTAAAAAGAAAAATTTTCAAAAAACTGACTTTTTTTACTTAAAAAATTATTAAAAAACTATTAGGAGCTCGCAGGACTTGCACGCACATTAGTGTGAAAAGCAATAAAACAAGTTTTTAATTGAAGTAAAAATCAGAGAAATTATCCTAGTGGAATTTGCACAAAATCTTGTTAAAAATTTAAACCTTAATTCCCTCCAAATCACCTATTTAAAAAAATGTAAAACCACAAAATGTTGAGAAACACATCAAAAAATATAATTTTAAAACGTCAACCGAATATTTTACATTTATCATAAAAACTTATTAAAAATAGCTATTTTTTCACCTTACTTTACTCTAAACCATATATCATCGGTTGCAAAATTTCTCGTGTGCTATGAATTTATTTTTCCTTTAAAGATAAATATATCACCTTTCCAGAATGATTAAAAACAATCAAAATATCGTCTACATAGTTATTGCACATTATTTTTTAAAAATTGTCCAAATTCAATTATTTGAAATAAAAACGAAAACCTGCGCATTGCCATGTACGGAGTAGAAACAAGGCAGGAGGTAAACTGCCATCTATATTTCAAAACCAAATAAGATGTGGTGTTTGTATTTGCTTTATGGTGTTTATGCATTTGTTAGGAATTAATGAATTGTGTAGCAGAAGCAACTTTCTTTTCGAAAAAAATTAATTTAATTTGTTTTCGAAAGAAAGGGAAAACACAAAAATTTAGTTAATTTTTTGAAATTTGGCTGCCCATACAACGCTGTTTCGAATATTGCCAAGTACCAAGATTATGAGATATATTCCAAATGAAAGATTATTGATTTTTCTATCTAAATAACATTTTTTATTTGATGAAAAAGCTTAAATTTAGCTAATTTTGACAAATTAATTAAGTTTTAATATATTTAGAAAAACTTCGTGTTCCATTTCCGGTGTAGTCCTCCCAGCGTCGTTGCTATCTTAACTCAGGTGCTATCTTGACTCAGGTAATGCGATTTTAGGGTTGGTTCACACTGCGTATTGACAAAAGTGAAAATCTTAAATGACATTATGACAGTTTCATTCAAAAGCCGTAATTTTTTCTTTCAGAGTTATAAAAAAACTGTATTAACTCTAGTTGAAACTAATTTACATCACTTTTAAAATACATATATTTTATATATATTTTGTATTGTGTACAATATGAAATAAAAAAATTGTAAACACTAAAAATTTATTCATTTAAATAAAAGAAAATAAAATGAATATTAGAAGGGCAATGGTAAGCATTTTTAACTTACATATTTAAATTAATTTATTTATTTATGTATTTCAATTTATTAGTAAATAAAATGCTCATATGATTTTAACAGAGGACTGAAATTTCGCACTATATTTCCAGTGAACATTCACAATAGACTAAGTTTTGAATTTGGTTGCACCTAAACTTAAGATTTAAAATTTTTTGCTAATAAAACCTATCTCTGAAGATTTTAAGAGCGTTATTGTTGCTTCTCATGCTTACTTTCGTAAGTTGCGAGTATTTATTTCACATTGATTTATTTATATATTTATTCATTTATTTTTTTGTAACTGTTGTTGTTAATACAGCAGTGGCTACAATTAATTCTTTCATGACATGAGTCAAATTCAGTAAATAATTATTTATGTATAAAAAATAATAGGTGCTTTCGGCAGCTCGCAAGTATGGCAAAGAACAGCAAGTTGCTGGCCTATAGACGCTAAGCGAGAATTGGCATCACTGTTGCAATCTGTCAAATGTTATGTTTTCGCAAATAATAAAATTTGCATATGACATTTTGCATAAAAATAAATAATTAATGTAAAATTGAAATGAATTATTAATTAAAATCATTGTTCAGT